TTGCCCATTGTGCCGTGACCTCGGCGCATTTGGCTTCGTCATATTGCGGCCAGTCCTTGTAACATACAGCCGCCGATGGGACACTGTCCAAAAGCGCAGATCCCGTCAACAGATCGAATACAGACCATGTGGCTGATGAAGGCCAGGCGCTTTCCCCTGGGAAGACCTTACAGGAGCGGGCAGCTCTCTTGCCGGTCACATCGCCCTCGTCTCCAAAGTCAAAGACGCCAGCATCGCCAATGTCGTAGCTGGTCAAGTTGGCAAGGACCTTGTCGGTGAGCTGCGACGTCTCGAAGTCGAGGTACTCAATACCCGAAGCTGCAGCATTTGCCGCGATCAGTTCGGCTGCAGGAGCAATTCTTTTGTTGGAGATGCCTACGAGGTATAAGCGGGTGCCGGCTGTAGGGGCTGAAGACTCCGGGAATTCGAGCGCATGTAGAATTAGTGAGGAAGAGAAGCACACATACCATCATTGTTTGAAGATTGAGCCGCCGCTAGACATATGACCGACAAAGCGGCGAAGAGGCCAGTCGTTGACATTGCTGCGAAGGAGTCAAATGGTACAGATGACAACCATGGACTACCAAGCGTGATGGCGGATGAGGAGTGACAACGGGAAAAGGATGGCAGAGGGAGCAAAGAACACATCCAGACCGTCTAAACCCATGATTTTTAAGAGCAAATTCCCCCTGCAATGTGGTATGCAGGAACGGTGGCGACCTGGGATGATTCTCAAGTCGATCCCCACCGACTGCTCATGACCGGCCGGAGAGTCTCTCCGGAAACAGATTCGGGGCCCCGCTTCACTCCGAGGACCTGCCGGCCGACCGACTAATCTTTGCGACCTGGGACAATTGGGCCGTCGACTAGCCGGGCTTCTGGTCCGGACGCCACTCGGACGCTCTCGCCCCCAAGTTTCTCTTCTTGGTAGCAGCATGTTGTTGGTTTTCCTTCAAGAATGCTGCCTTCTTTCGGGTCATGATTGTGTGGGGGACGAAAGGGACTTTGGAGACATGCGCTGGCCGGAGATTGCTTTCCTGTACTGCGCCGCCGGCGTGCATACTCGGCAGCGATGTTTCTGCAGGAATCCTCCACTAAACTGGTCTTGCTGACACTCTGCAGCATCGATGCCTCTTCCAATCCCGGCCAAAGAAGATCTAGACAAGCAGCAACGAATAGCCGACCAGATGAGCGGTGGGGCCGGTCGCTCGAGTTTCCTCTTGCGGCGCGGGCCGAGGAGGAATCGGATGAGGTCGAGTTTGCCGCCACTGGTGGGGGATTGAACCACGCGGGAAATTTTGGGCGAGTATCGCGTGAGAAAACAGAGTCGATTACATTCTGCGATCGAATTTGAGCGGTCTGGGCTGGAATGATGATGCGATTTTGACGAAGTGGACGCGACAAACGCGTTGCTCAATTGACACCTCTGGAAGGATGGGAGAATCCCCACGACTTATCCATGTTTTTCTGTTAGACAGGGATCCGGGTTGATATGATATGCCGAAGACTATTTATTCGACTCCTTGGCTGATAACAATACTCAATGAATGCATACGACGATCTTGACGTCCAGAGAGAATGTGGTGTTGTCGGAGACGAGGCCGGGCCGTAATTGACCTCACCCTATGAAACCTAATGCTATGCAAGTAGTGACTATAGTTATGAGACTACTTACTGAACTGTGTCACAGCGACTGTATTCTTGTGTTTCTGTCGTTATCACTGCTATTTCCTCTGCTAGCAGCGTCTCTCCCATTGTCGTCTCTACATCCTCTCGTCGCTGCTTTCACTTGGTTGACTCCCCGAGGCTCGATTGTGTTCCGAACATAGAGAATATAGTCCGCTTAGAACAGCCAAATTAGGGTCTTCATGGTACACGTTGTATACTGTAGGAAACTTATGCAGTCTACCGGAACCAACTCCAACAACAAAACCTTTGCCCCGGGCCGCCCGGATCAAAAGCACCGAACTCGGATGCATGGGTCCTACCGGGGCGGGTCTGATCCGGCGCCCATCGGATCGAAGCTTCGGAGATCATGTTTCGAGCCCATGAACAACTGTGCCCGATTGGAAACACCGCCTGAAGCACCTATATTTAGTCTGCTTTCCAAACTCAGCACGAATAGTCGCTGTTTTCAGCGGGGTCTATCGAATGTTGCTGTCATCAGTATCACCATATTAGAGATAGAATCTTGACCAGTACGCAACAGCTTTGGACGCAGGTCGATCCGCCAATAGCGCATGGACACTGGAAATATTGGGGCTGTTCCTTTCTGGCGGGACCACAGTCGTTCTCAATTGTAGCTCGGGATGATAGACAACCCCGTGCCAAAGAAGAACATCTGGAATGATTTAGTGAAGGATGTAAGTGATTTCTTGACTTCTAAAATCATGCCGATCGGCAAGATGGTAGACTGGGCCACGCCAGCATGGATGAAGAATGAGCTTTACTCAAAAGTTGAATGCTCAAGTTGCGCTGCGGTCTCTATATGCTTTTTGCTCAACATCTTGCGCTACGATTGACCCTATGTCTGAACAGATCGGCGAACTTGTCTGGGGACTTTGAACCCAAATAAGTGATAGCGTCATCGCCCGCGAAGCATTGCTTGGTGTAGTGACTCGCGGCCAGCGGAGAAAGTAAACCCCACGTGGTAGTAGCAACATCTACGAAAAACCAAGGCCTGGAGGTGGAGAAGGCAGGGCTATATAAAGGAGCTTCGTGGGCCTCTGGGAGATGGGGTTCAAGAATGCCAGGGAGGTTCGTCCTCATTCACTGATTTTCGCCACCATGGAGGACGAGATGGAAACCAGAATTCTGCTCGTTTCGAAGATTCATGAAAGTTGCCGACACAGTCCCTCCCATAGGGCACTGAAACGAGCAGGGTTCTGGAGTATGCTCATGATACTTGACATGAGCGTACTGTTCGAACTACTACACGAGCTTCAGACGGCATCCTGGATGGAAAGAAGACGGCTGGTGTGCGGCTTGGTGCCGGTGGCGCAAAGGTTGCCGATGCTAGTCAAGATATGCATGACCTCCCTGCAGCCCAACTGATTTCCGATGAACGCTGACCAGTCAACAGTTCTTCAACGGCCGTATGCGCCAGGATTCCCCGAGTCAAGCAGCCTTGTGATGCGTACTGAACGTCTCCGAAGCCAAGCAGAGAGAGCGAAAGTGAAGTTCCCCTTTGGGTTTAGGTGTAATCCGGCGTTGCTGACAGCAATCTGTCCCAGGCATTCAAGCGCGACGAGGGCCGGTGCGTTGTCACGGGGACCACGGACCCCGACGTTTGCCACATCTTCCCGTTCGCCGACAGCGAGAGCGACCAATACAGACATCATCTGGTTGGCTTATTTCACATGGAGGCGTTTAGGGGCGAGGCTCGCTGCAGGAGACTGTACAAAAGTCTCAGCAGCGGCAGGCTGCCCAATATGATAGATACAGCAGCGAACATGATTTGTTTGAATCGTGAGGTACATACCAGCTGGGCGCAGGGCTTGCTGGCTTTTGAACCCCCTGAGACACCAGCAACTTGTTGGCCCTGCATTCGCCTCAGGGTTCACTGGCTGGAGAGAACACGGATTCCGTCCATGGAGAGCAGAGTTTCTTTCTCGACGGATCCGCGCACCGTCCTGGTCCCGAAAGACATGCGAATCACGAGATCACGACCAGTCACAGATGGGCAAGTAATCACCATATTTGCTGAGAGAAAGGACCAGCTTCCCAATAGAGACATCCTTGAGCTGCAGTGGGCATTTCTCAGGATGCACGCCTTATCAGGAGCACCAGATGCTCGAATATACCCCTGGCATCCTGAGGAGGCTGATGGCTTTTGGGACACTGATGATGATTAACCATGCAGGAACGCACCGGCGAGCTTGACTCCGAGTCTATGGGTGTTGGGTAAAGATAAGTAGGTACATATAGAAAGAGAGGTCGAAGTATGAAAATATGAATAGGCGTAACACAAGTGGCCATAGAGATTTCTCTGAGAGCCATCCTGGCCCTCAAATATTTCCCCGTCAGAGTCCTACGGATGTCAAAAAAGGCGTGCCCGCAGGCGGTGGCCTGCCATACGAAAGTACGAAAACGATTTAGGGGGGAAGAAGGATGAATAGGCGTATGCATTGTAGATCGACTCGAGATGTCCAAGATCCAACCAGTCCTACGCGATTCAAACATGCCTAGTCCGCATACATAAAGGCGCAAATGGCTCCATTCCAGTACTCAGTGATGTTCGATCGTGGAACTGGATGGTCAACAGGCCCTCCCGGCTGGCTCAAGGGTATGTACTCAACATCACAGGACACATCATCGGGCGAGATGTCAATAATCCATGACTTTCGGATAGTGCCGCCGTTGATCATGAATTGACATGCAATGTGGCGCCTGTATTGAGGCCACATGAAGGAAGACGTTCTTCGCGAGGACGAGAGGCTTCGGGCAGAGTTCCCGTGATGTTGAGACCGCAAGTTAGGCGCTTCCGGGCGTAGGAGTGCATGCACCGCCGATGTATCATACGCGCGGGTGGCTGAGCTTCAGGCCACTACAGGCACATACGTTTCGGAAAATAAATACGAGTTTTGTCTTAATCCAAGGGGCCAGCTCGAATTTTGCAACAGATCCATTTCCCAAGGGGCAGTGTTTTCTGCACATTACCTCAGCCGGGCACGCACGTGTCATGGGGTGGTTCTAGATGACTACACTAAAAACAGAAGCAAGAGGGGGCTGGCAACCACGGAGGCTAAGTCGAAATGATTGAGGGAAGGCCCAATTGATCTGCCACATAAGAACAAATGATTGACCCTTCCGGCTGGGGTCGTGATTGCCAAGCTTCTTAATCTCAGGGGCCGCCTTCCAAGACACAAATCAAACTCCTTCCTTCCAACATGCACGACAATATTCCATTGAATAACCTCCAGAACCACCGGCCTTTCGAACCCCGTCGACCTTACACCACATTATCCAACCCCAGCGACGTTGGTCGCAGACATAGCAAGATGGGGTCCATCAGAGTGGCCATATCTTACGCCTTCGACTGGGCAATTCTCCTTGTCTTTGCAGTCGCGGGATACATTCTAGGGAATCTTACACCGCAAAAGCGCCCTTTCAACTTAGGAAACCCCGACATCAGCTTTCCTCTCTATGACGACACCGTCTCCATCACGAACGCATTTCTCATCTGCATCGTCGCACCTATACTTATCATTCTTGTCGTCTCTCTGCTCTTCGTACCGGGCTCGACAGTTCCCCCAGGCACGCCGAAGTCCATCATCTGGAGACGAAAGCTCTGGGAGATCCACGCGGGATGGCTGGGTCTCATCTTCTCCGTAATCGCGACATGGTTCATCGTGAGCACGACCAAGAACCTCCTCGGAAAGCCACGACCGAATGCCATCGCGCGCTGCCAGCCGGACCTCGATAATATCGCCCAGTACATCGTTGGTGGCGTGGCGGCAACCACTTCATCGACACCGGGACAGCTAGTATCGGCCGATATCTGCAAGAATCCTGACGCTAGTGTTGTCAACGACGGCTTTCGTAGCTTCCCATCTGGACATTCCTCGATTGCGGCGTCGGGTCTTGTCTACCTTACGTTTTTCCTGGCAAGCAAGTTTGGAGTTACAGCTCCTTGGGCACCTCGAACCGAAGGCTTGACAGAACAGAGCCACTCAGCATTCCCTTCTCGCATTGTGGGAGACATTGAGATGCAAGGAAGCGACGCGAATTCGGCACCCCGAGAACCCACAAACAACCGACCGATATCTTCCGTCCGAAGACAGGCTGCTGCTCCACCTATCTACCTGGTCCTTCTGACTATGGTCCCCTTCTGCGTATGCATCTTCATCTGTGCTTCCAGATGGTTCGACTTCATGCACCACGGCGTTGACATCTTCGTGGCGTTCGCCATCGGCTCGGTAACATCATACTTCGGTTTCCGCTTCTACCATCTGCCCATCGCACAGGGGGCCGGATGGGCTTGGGGACCACGCAGCGAGGATGCGGCTTTCTGGGCTGGAGTTGGAAGACAGGGATACGGGCATGGAATGGACAAAGGCCGTCACTACTACATGGGCTAACGGGCACGCGACCCGCTGGGAATAACGAAAGGCCCCGAATCTTCTTTACGCCCGCCAATGAACGAATTTGGATTTCACAGCAAGCATTACGCGGAGGCTTTGCCTAGCGTCACCAGAGTCATGTATCAGTAGGTGTAATAGGGAAATTTGTACGGATACGTTGGAGTGTGACAACCAAGACCAGCTGCATGACAACGCCTCAGTGGTTGACGTTGGCGAATTTCTGCCCAGATATGTCGTCCCATGTCGTTCATCCTAACTCAGACTAGTTGAGTCGGAGTCCGTGTGGTAAAGTAGCTCGGAGTTATCAGCCGAGGGGCACGGAGACCGAGGTCATTTGTCATGTCAAACTAGCAGCCGGTCAAGCTTAATCCAACGCAGACTAAAATTAGCTTGAGATGCCTTCTTGCTCCTTGAGACGCCGTTCTACTGCGCGGTTAATGGCTTTCCGCGCTATTCTAATCGTGACACGCCTGAAAAGCCCTCTTCCAATTCTCTGGGTTTACCTGGCGCGAGGACGCAGAACCGTTTCGCTGGCACACTAGCGAAGCTTCTCCCTGGTTGCTTCTACTATGCGTTCTAGTAGTAGGGACGAACTGTGGCTTATACATGTCATAAGCATCAACAACCGCCGTAGAAGCCAATAATCGATACCACGGCACACAGATTGGAATGATGGATTGACCAGTGCCATACAGGCCATGTAGATGCAGACGCTTGTAATGCCATTTATCTCTAAGGCACTGAAAACTCGGCGACCAAACAGCAGCAGGTCCCCGGCTGTGCTGCTCTCACCAGCCGAAAGTTTCACAGTGAACCTCTATGCTAATTTCCGCGCTGGCAATGTGTTGAGCGGCAGTGGTCCGTACAAGGTCAGTCAGAGATTGAGGGCCGCACGACGCAATGAGCACCCGCTGACCAGGCTCGATCGCCTCCAACGTCTCACCAATAACCTTTGCTGCCTCGAGTTTGTCGTACTTGATGTCGCATAGACTGTCGAGATCCTGCGAACGCCTTTGTTTCTCAGCAGGCTCTGCTGAGACGTTGGCAGCTGTCTTTTCTTCCATGGTATCCGTAGCGCCCGGCATGGGATCCTCGGATGAGACGCTGTCAGCCCCCCTTTTGACTGTTTGTTGGGGCGCAAGGACTGAGTGCTCCAGAGGGGTCGGTGCTGAGGAATCGCTTAGGGACTCTTTCGAGCCCTCCCTGGTGACGTGCAGCATCATGTTCATTCCGGGACCGTGCCGGCACAATGACTGGATGTGATGCGCAAACCAGTTCAAGTTCTCTGTACTGGCCGTCAGCATTCATGGCTTTGGGGATGTCAACCGGAATCAGACGAACCTCTCTTTCTAGCAGCCCAGATGAAGTCTACGTGAGTCCCCGAGTTTGATTCCAGGTGCTGGAGCAAGCTCGTCGCCAAGCCAAAGGTGAACGTAGCCCCGGTGCCACCCGCAATCAGAATCACCTTATCAAAGTTCTTAGGGTCTGGGATGGCTCCGTAGGGGCCGTCCACTGATGCCCACACTGACGTTCCAATCTCACGGTGGGCGCGGTCGTGAACGGCTTTGGTGAAGCCGCTGTAAGAATTCAAGATCAACTCCAAACCGCCGGCCTTCGTGTTGGACACAATCGTGAAGGGATGAGTCTGGAATGCTCGGATGCTCGGGATCCACACGAAGCAGTGCGATCCAGGGACAGCCCCAGCCAGCGGCTTCTTGATCACCATTCGCACACCGTTATCGGGCAGCTGGTAGATGGTGGCGCTGTTGTTGACCATGTTGTACAGCATCCTCGACCCCCTAATGAGACGATCAAGCGCCCAGATTGCCCCGGCAAAGAGCATTGCCACAGGGATCTTCCAGATCCAGTAGGGCCTGTGGAGGGCTGTGAAAATGATGGCCAGAAGGAATCCCAGGAGGTGACTGATGTAGAAAGCCTCGTAGCCCAGGTTCCTGGCCATGCCAAGAAGTAGCACAATCATGGCTACGCCGGCCGCAATGCCCTCCCAGTTCTGGTCCTCCAGCAGAGTGCTCCAGCGGTTCTGGTTGCCATAGTAAATCATGTAGAAAATAGCATGAAGTACCAGCTGAAGAACTGCGGCGTACCCAGCGAGTCGGTGGAAATAGTTCAGGCGCTCGTAGGAGTGGCCGGACAGGATCCCCAATGGAGTGTTCTTCAGCCCGAAAAACACGCACAGGGCCATGTTGGCGGTCGACATCCTGTCCCCAACCAGTCAGCTTGCGCCATCAGATGCCGCCATAAAATAGAAAACTGACCATCCGAATCGTGCAGCAAAGTTGCTGGTCTTGGCCCTATCCACGTGGTGGAAGCACATAACAATGTTGACGCCCACGAAGGCGATCGCCAAGAACGCATGGCCGCCTGACGGAAACCCGGGGACCTTTCGGATTAGCAAGCTCCGGATTTGCCTATGGGGTGTTAATTTCCTGGTCCAGCAGCTATTATCTCTCACGTGAGTCTCACCGAGATGTCTTGACGACAATAGACACACCGGGCAAGCGTTGCCATGCTTTGGGTGAGGACGTAAGCTTCCTGTTGATCGACCTAATCCAGTGATACAGAATGAAGACAGCAATGACCGCACAGATAACGGCAGCATATATCTTCACATTCCATTCATTCATGAGTTGGCGCGCATTGGGCGGCTTCGGCTTTTTGGCTGCCCGTGTCTCAATCATTTTGAATGGTGTAAGTGACGCTGGAGTCCGTGCAGTGACGATTGTTTCAACACCAACAAGAAGAGCCTCGGCAGAGACAAGGGGGGAAATGCTCAAATAATCGAAATGTTACCTATGGTATACTAGCCAATGTCTGTGTCTTTAACACAAATGCAAAGTTTTTCACTGCCCAAATACTGGGATGCAAAACACAACTTCAACTGAGGGTGGGGTGGAAGCCACCCGTAGCGTCACGCTCCCAAGAAGCATCGTGAATGTATCAAACTCAACCAGGGATACTTCAGCTTGTGCATCCCGCCGGCTACGGTCGAGTTCCGCCACTTGAAGAAAATGCCTCGTGTAAAATGCAGGCGGGATCCGGTTGAGAGCTGTGAGCTCAACGATTGCAACGTAGGTAATGGAGTTGTGATGATCCTGATTGGATCTAATCTGATCCCAAGATAAAGAATTAGAGGCTGGACCATCACAAGTTGTGGACTGCCTTGTTCGGACGAAGTTTTGATTCCACATCTCCACTCGAGACAAAAAGTCACTCTACGTTCGAGAGACATGTTCGTCAGTATACCCACGAGGCCAGGATCTAATCAGCTGGTTGATGAAACAAAACTTCACCACTTCCAACAAGAAAACAGGGATTTAGTGGAGATATCTAAATGATTATCCGGTAATCATCGTACTATGGCTTCACTTCAAATCCTTCAAGCCGCAATACTCACAGAAGGACCTAGGCAAGAGGGCGTGAGCATATCAGCAGCGATATCGCTCCAGCTCTATGGACACTCGAAGTTCGGAGGAAAACCGAGCTTCCAGATTTGACATCACTTGACGACTTCCAATTTGACTTTGTGTATGAGTAGATTGATAGAGTCGATCTGATATCACTTAGCATGCATGCTAGTTTAGTCAGGCATCATCAAGTCAACTGACTCGAGTCGCGTCCACTCGGAAAAGTTAGTTCAGCCCTGTGACGACTGTAGCATTTTAGCGGCCGCCCTCAAGCCATCAAGCACTTAATTCTGCCGTAAGAGCTTCTTAGACGCTTTCTCAACTAACAATTTCTGAACATGTGCTTCTTGAAATAAGATGTTTCCACAGTACAGTATGTCCGCATAAGTCCGTCTCTGCTGACATCGAGAGAAGGCCGTTGCTGCAAGTCTCAAGCCCTGAATGCCCACATTGTTCTCCGCTAATTCGTATCTCATTCCACTCTACGAATGTGACTAAGACGGCGGTATGCTGCAGAGTTTTGGGCTCCGTCAAGCATCACAACCTAGCCTTGTTGTTCGGATGGAGTTGTTTCGATCCACATTACCGGGGGTCCTGCGGCACATCGATCCTCCGCCTGCAGGAGGCAACGGCCTAACTTGTTAGTTATCGGAGCATTACATCAATGGCATCAGCCAATCGCCACGCGAGTGTAGAGAGGGCAGCTCCCGTACTAGTCATGGGCAAAATTCGGGAATAAAACAGATCTTAAGCGATGCCGCAGCAATGGACGTGTTGGGAAGCAGTCCCAGCTTTAGACCCATCCAATGCCTCGGCTCCATCCGACTTGGCGTACCGTTGCCACTTGACAAGCTTCGCGTTGGTGGGCTGGTCTACCTCCGAGAGCGCAGCTCGGTGTTCCGAGCTGAGGATTGATGGTAGCACAGCACGCGCAACGCCACTTTTCGTCACTGTGAGAAGAAGCACCGATGATCATCAGCTTTGGACAGGAAATTCAGGAAAAAACGGGAGCGGCTAGATCACTAATCTTCGCCTAACACTGCACGGTGTAAGTGCACAGAGCGCGCGTCGAAGGTTCGCTAGCGAGGACCCGTCACAACTTTAGGGAATGACTGGGGCCCATTTACAACGAAACCGAATTTAATTACAGCACATCAAAACAACAACAAGCACTGAGACCAAACGCGCTCGAGTCATTGCCTGCTGTATGAGGCGTGTTGGGAAAGTGTACAGGCTCAGAAATATCTTTCAAGCCTCGTTCACCAACGTTCTGTCATGAAGAACTCATTGCCCTGAATCCCATGTTCGGGACAGCAAATTTCTACGTCGTCCACACAAGAAGACAGTGCGATATGGCAGCCAATGATCTCACATAATCCTACCACGTGGGCAAGGTATCGAACGACGACCCGCTGTACAGACGTTAGGCTCTTTGCTGAGCTGGGCGAGAACGTGGAGACTTGAAGCCAAGACGATCGCCATAGTTGAGACGGTGCGCTACAGTTGCCATCACTAAAGTGGATAACGACAAGACCCCTCCGTTGGTAAGCCGCGACGTCTTCCGCGTATCTA